ATAATCTTTAAATTTTTAAGAAAAAGGAAACAGTGCTTCATAGATGTAAACTATAGTAGATATTTTTCTTTTCTTGAAACTTTATACGTGTTGATGTATTGAGTAGCCGGTAAATGTGAAATTATATGTGTGCTGCCATTTATCAAAAGATTATTTGTTTCTCACTTTGAGGACAATTAATAGCAGCAGCCTTGTTACACTTCTTGCCTTAGTATCGATCAATAAGCACTCATTCCAGAAAGCTGTGCTTCTGAAAGGTCTAGCATTAAATAAAATGCTGACATTTCAAAGATTGACTTTCATGCCCAATCAAGAATGTAACCATCTTACATTTAAATCCTTTAGCATTCATGTATTTTGTCTACATTTTTGTGCTAAAGTAGTACATTTTATGAGGCTACCATCAAGCAGAAGAGAACAGTTTAAGGACGTATTCTCACTTTGTTTGGTTCTACCCGTGTTTACACTGTCAGCACCTTCTTTTTCTGGTTTCAGTGATCAGCATTTACCACAACTGTATAGGTAGCAGACCACTTGCAGAATGAGATTTTGAAGTGGGGTAGAAACCAAAGCGGATGTATACGATGTATACAAAAAGGATATATATCCTCACGCCGGCTGCAGTTGTTCCTTTGCCGTACTTTACACACAGGCTTGACGGTTCAACAGTGGCTTGTGGAGAGCGTGAGCTTGTTGTGTGTAAGTACGTTGAACTCTCTTATATTCTGAGCAAGATGAGAGATGGGTTCTTGGGGTGCAGTGTGTCTGAAGATGAGAAAAATTTGAAGTAGCAAAAGTTGAATCCCTGTTCATGTTTTGATATAAAGTAGATACATTAAATAATAGATTTATTATGTAAGCAGAACTAGTTGGAAGAAGCAAAACATTTGAGTACTTTAAAGAAATTTGTTGCTTTATTTTATAGAAAAAAACATGACAGCAGTCTATTAAGACTTTATAAAGTTCTGGTGCAGCAAGAAAGGAGTGTTACCATATCATTTCTTGTGGTAATAAATTTAGATGGTCTGGTTGTTATTAGAATGCTGACCAGGAAGGAAACAGAAGTCTGTCCTTTTTTCATAAAAAGGTATAAAAAAGGTTACACACTTCAAAATGCAGAAAAGACAGAAATTAAAATCTTAAATAACTGCAAACAGCAGGGTACGTCAGTAATGGAAGGACTTCTTAAGTGACTTTGACAGCTTTTGCAGGTGCACATACTATGTCACTTTGCCTAGTGGAGCATTGAAAAAGATTTATGGTTCTCCTTTTGGAATTTATTAAGAGTTTCTTTCTTTCTTTTTCTTTCTCTGCAAAGTAGTCTGGACATACCCCTCCCTTGCAGTCATTTTTATTACAGCTCCTAGAGGAAAGTCACCTATTCAAAAACATGTGTTGCTTGTTGTCTCCGTGGCTAGCTCACAGAGCTGTAAACTCTGGAGAATGTCGTTATTTACAGCCAGATATTTTTCTTTCCTTCCCCTTTTGCTTTTTTTTCTTTGTATGTAAATCCCATTTTGTTTGGTTTAGTTCCTGAAAGTGTTCCTGTATAATTTTGTACCCCTAAACATTTAAATCGGTAACAAAAATATTTTTTTTTAGAGAGATAGTCTGACCATCAGGAACTAGAAATTCTTGTTTTGGTTTGGTTTTTTTAGGTTTATCAACATATGCTTTGTTATATTCCTTTATATGATGTTATTCTCGCTTTCACTAACACACTTGCATAATACTGTTTGAAGATGCTCTGAGGGGCCGCTTCTATGCCTGTGGTGTTTGCTGATTCTAATTAATTTTATTCAGTTCCTGTTTCTCAAAGACACAACCTTTTTTTTTCTTTTTCTTTTTTTTTTTTTTTAAACTTGCCATCTATGCTCTTTGAAACATTATTTATTATTTTGACAAATCAGTGAGTGTTATCTTGTGGGCTTTTATTCCAATGACAGAGTTAATCCATCTACAGATTAACAAGTGTCGGTTTTGGTTTTGTTTTCTGAAATTTCTCAACATGTTTAAAGAACCTTCTTTCTCGCAAAATCTTGTCTTTACATTAGTAGAAGTGAATGTGATGGCAGCATCTAATTCTGACGCAAATTCCAAGAAAGTGAGACAGAGACAGGATTTTGCTCTCCAAGAGTCAGTTGCAGGATTAGAGCTTTAATTGCAATGAATGTCATGTCAGAATTTTCTTGGGGAAGTAGTGAATTACCAGTGTTACAGAAACAAAGTATTTTAATTGTCCCAGTGAAGATAAATACTTAAAGCAGCAACTTTTAAACTGAAAACAGTGACTGTAGTTGTGGCAGTAATCAGTAAGATAACCAATTAACAATATCACTTAAGACAGAGTGGTTAACCTCCCTTTAGTTACAAGCAGGGTATGATTGATTACAACACTGATGGGAATCACAAAAACAACTCGCAAAACTGGGAAAGAGTTAGAAATATCAATAGTTTGTTTCTCTGCATTCCATCCTATAGCTTTTGCTCAGTATGAAGCTTAGTTTGGGTTCTTTCATAGTTTTTAATACTCTAATAATTCTCTCATTTTCTATCAACTGTTACTTGGTTTAACACATGAAGAACCACGTTTCCTCTTTGTGGACGAAGAACTATGGAAAGTGTTATCAAAGCTTGCTGCTTTAATTAAAACCTCTCTTGTTGAACAAGAACAAATGTGTCAGTCTATAAAGAGTGAATATTGAGATGTTCCTGACAATAATGGGGGGGGGAAGTTGCAGAGTGTGTCCTGGTACATGTAGAACACTGACAACATCTGTAATAGGTGACATACTGAAATCCTCACAGTACAAGATTTCCAAGCTCCTTGTAGTCTGAAATTAAGGCCATATTTCTTCCCCATCAGGGGCTTGTTGTAGGTTTAGGCATTTGGTGAACTGCATGATGAGATGTGGGCAGTAGCACTTCTTTTTACTTGCGTATGATTTTCTTTGAAGTTAGCTAACACTGTTTTCCCTTTGTACAAATTCTATCCATATGTCTTTAAATTATGGCCAGTTTTCCAAGGTGCATCCAAGAGATGCACAGACCTTAACACAGTCATTTGTGAAGCACAAGTGACTAAAATTCCTGACTTAAATGTACCTGGACTTGTGCAAAGCATTTGCCACTGTCCCGCGTGACATCCTTGTCTCTAAATTGGAGAGACATGGATTTGACAGATGGACCACTCAGTGGATAAGGAATTGTCTGGATGGTCGCACTCAAAGAGTTGCGGTCAACGGCTTGATGTCCAAGTGGAGACCAGTGATGAGTGGCATTCCTCAGGGGTTGGTATTGGGACCAGTGCTGTTTAACATCTCTGTCAGCGACACGTACAGTGGGATCGGGTGCACCCTCAGCAAGTTTGCTGACGACACCAAGCTGAGTGGTGTGGTCGACACACTGGAGGGAAGGGATGCAACCCAGAGGGACCTTGACAGGCTTGAGAGGTGGGCCCGTGTGAACCTCATGAAGTTC